TCAAAAACCCTCACTTTCAAAATGAGGCCAAGTGCACAACCTTTCTGGTGAAGATGAGTTTTATTTACTTTCTAAATGTCCTTTATTTTTCTTCTGACTGGTTATGCCATTTTAAAAGACTTTTCATACCTTTTTGGCGCGAAATTCACCGGTCAAAAATTCTACCGGTAACGTCATGACAATTGACCAATAGGACAGTGATATTTCACGCCGCTCCTGACACAGCATATGTCAATCATTTTTTTCCGAGTGAATTTATAATATGATTCAAATCCATTCAGGCGAAACCAGTCGACCTCCAGACTTCGTCGCTCGCTCGGTCGCTGCGCGACCTCATGCATTGAAGCTCGCTTCGTTCACTTTTAAGAACTTTTGAGAGGTCGACTTGTACCAAGTCTACCCTTTTACTTGTTTTACCTAGTTTACTTCCCGAAGAAATCAAACACTTCCCTTTATATAGTGAGAGTGGTTTTTAGCCAAGGCCTTTTATGTATTGCGTATCTAGACAAATTCGAGGTCCTCATAAACGCAAAAAAATAGCGAACCATCTTCACCGTCATTGAAGGATTTAGAATTTATTAGATATAGAAAAAAAATCCAGGCAAACAAAAGCTCTTTCAACTATTCAACTATTAGCTTCTGAAGGGCTTCTGGATGATCTCGTTGCTCGGAGTATTTTGGGGCTCGTACCGGCAAGGATATGCCGAGCTAAGGGAACCAATCAAAACTTTCGAAAATTCCGGCTATCTGCTAATTGGCAACCTTGTTCTCCTTCTCGTCCCTCTCTCTCTCGCCTTGTAGGGACGAGTAGGACTGAGAGAACCCTGGGTACGAGGTTGCTAATTTGGTAAAGCCCCGTGCAAACGGACGCAACGTTGTTGAATGTTACATGTTGCGTCCGTTTGCACACCCCGTTGCATGTTTTTGGGAGTCGTTGCGCAAAGTTTGAAACTACGTGAAAACGAACTCCAACAACTCACAACATTGTTGGGCCAACAGTTTTATGATTTTTAGAAAGTTTATCAAAATGTGCATTGAAAGGGCACGGGAAAACCAGACGTTTCGAGGAGTTGTTGGGAGTTATTGCGTCCGTTTGCACGTAGCTTATATAAGTACTAACATGATTTGCACTAACGTTCTGGATATCTTGGCTGATTTAGTCCTGCAGGTGGCCCGGCCCGGAACCCAAATGCAGTGGTGTGCAATCATTACAGGAGTAGTAACCGCCTCACTTGCAGAAAGTAAGCTGCTACGATTTTTCAAGGCTATACAAACAGTCTCCTCTTGAATTCGAGAAAGAAAACCCTGCAGAATGTTTGTGAAAACGTTTGCCCCCGAACCATGTTTATAGCTTAGGCTTATTACACGTAACTTATTGTAGTGGTAACAAGAGTAATGAAAATCCACTCCAAGTGATTGATATACTACGAAAAGAATCCCTTGACATTTTGATTGCACATAAAATCCAGTTAAAGAAGAGGGATTTTGTCTTAGTATAGTAGTTTTTTTTTGGTTCTTGGCTCTCGTTAAGAAGCTATAAAAATTCCGAATTCGGAACACAAATACCCAGCCGGAAAAAGTCAGAAGTCAACCAAGTGAAAACTTAGAGCTAGGGAACTCAAGGGAGGCTTTTCACGATCACTCATGAGCAGGTTTGTGCCCCAATATCAGTCATCGCCCCCCTCCCCCATAAATCATGGGCTAATGCCAATTAGTAAAATCCAACTAGTGGTCTATTATCAATTCTGCGTTCTGATTGGTTGAGCTATTCCTAGGCTATATGTTATAGCCCACTGATAGCGAAAAGCGCGGGCTTTTTGGCGGCAAAAAAGGATTAAAGTCTAGCTTTAACTAGCTAAAAGTTTTTTATTCTCGACATTTTTGACCAACTAGTTGGATTTTACTAAAGCAATTATTCCTCTCGCCCTCACGGCCTGAGTCAATAGCCCATGAGGCCGAAGGCCTCATGGGCTATTGACTCAAAGCCCATTCGGGCTCGAGGAATAATTGTTAAATATATATTTTTTCTTAAAAGGGGCAGATCCTCGGTAACCTGTACTACACAGCCACCCAGGGAGAGAAACGACCGTCGCTACGGAGGGCCAACTCCACGGGGCGAGTATCTGATTGGAAATAGGTACACAAACCCAAGGTACAATATCGACTGGTACAATCTGTACCCCAAGAAAGAGGACAATTCTGGTTACTATGGTTACACACAGCGCACTCGAA